GTTTACTAACATTTTTTATTTTCACACATATAATTTTATTAACATCATTTAATTAGCATATTTAAATTTGTTGGCCTAACTAACTCTATTAACATGGCTTGGTTTACTAACATAGTCACACATGCACAACACGCGCACTCCCGCACGCATTCGGTGTTGTGATGTGGTATTTGTCTCTCATCTTTTTCATCTCATCATTCTCATCTTTTCTATTTCGCACTTTTTTTAGTAGTTTAAAATCTTACGTAAGTTTAAACTGAGCTGAGTTAATTGCCTATAAGTAAGCTAGGGACTCAGTTTATTGACCATAGGTAGGTGAGGTGTGAGTTAATTGAAAGTAGGTAAGCTAGGGCCTTAATTAGATTGAAGTTTAGGTGAAATTAATATACCATAGGTAGGTCTAACTTCTTATCTTACTCGTTATGTGTTTGTTTGTTTTTACTTTGTACTGTTTGCTTTGCACTCACGCGATAAACATACAACACACAAACACATGCAAACGTACAGCCAAAAACAAACATGCATGCAAGTTCGTGCTTATCATTTTAATTTAATTTTTCCTAACCATTTGTTTTTACTAACATCTCCCTCGATGAGTGGCTGCCTTGACGTGGCGAGGGAGCTTTCCACTAAATGCTGCTCGTACGCGATGTTTCCTGAATTAACATTTTTCAACTGCTTTTTCGTGTTATTTATATTCTTAATTTCATTATTTTAGTTTGTTTATTTTGCACGTGTGTGTTTTTATACATAATTTACGTGTGTGCCTTGTCCGCATGGACTAAGAACTAAGCAGTTTTTTTTTTGAGTTTCGATCCTGTCTTGGGAAATAAATTTTTGACATCTCGCTTGACTTAACGTTTATTCGCCACTACCGAGTTGTAGATAAACGCCACAATTCGGTATTGTAGTGTATTGTTTTGCATTGTATTATATTACAATGTATTGTATTGCATTGTATTATATTGTAATGCATTGTATTGTATTATATTGTAGTGCATTGTATTATATTATATTGTAATGTATTGGATTGTAATTAATTGGCGTATGAAGTGTGTTTAATTAAATGTTATAAATTGATAGGTGTTCATTTTTTCACAAGTGAGCTAATGTTATTAAACGTACCTAAAGTTGAGTAAATTAAGGTTTAAACTTAGACTTTGTATATGTCCATGGGTTTGAAACGTGAACGAGCGAATATAGGTAAACGAAGTAATTGAAATAAACATATGTTGGACCTAGACGCATGTTACATGAACAAAACACAATTGAAAATGTATAATTTGGTGATCCAAATCTTAAGACATTGATCACTGTTTTGTTTTCTGTATTTACACAAACATGACTTTAATTTGCTGATACATCGTACAATATTTAATAAAGTCTCTCAAACAGTTAAATAAATGCCAACTAGTATTTAGCCAGAATTTTATTTAAATTATTAAAAGATGTTTTGAGTTAAGCGCAAGGGGAACAAAATTATTTAAAAGTGAAACTAAACAAAAAATGTATTATCGCTAGTTGAAAAAATTCGTTTTGCTGTTTTTAGCAATTAAACTACTTGTTTCCAGAGAAAAAGATGGCTGAATTAGAAAGCGTTTCAAATTTATATTCTACCATTATATGTTAGTTTTCAAACTTATTCAAGTTAATTTCACTAAAATAAAATAAAAAAATTTCTGCATACCTACCTGGGGTACACTGCACACTCCTCACTTTTCTAGCTTCTCGTCTGCCACTAAAAACATTTAATTATACTAATAAAAGTCTAGAATTTTTAAACAATTAATTTTTACAAAATCAGCAAGAAGTGCCAAAACAACAAAAATTGAATGGATGAATAGTAGCAAAGTGCTAGAACTACCAGCATGTAGAACTCTAACTTTTAATAAAAATGGTGATTTTTTGGCCATTTCTGATTCACAAGGGTGAGATCACTAAATTAGCAAAGACTTTTTTTTTCTTAATTTATTAAATGTCTTAACATAAATTTTAAACATTTCTTTAAACCATTAATGATTAATAGTAATAAATCATTAAACTTTGATTTTATTTATTTAGGAATGAAATAAGTTTTAGTTTAAAGCATGAAATAATTACATCACATACATACATATATAATACTTATGCATAGATAGATAGATATATACATATATATACACATAAATAAATGGATACATACATGTATACATAAACATCACCGCTTAAATATATTATTTCTTTTTAGTGTGAGAATAGTATCTACTGAAGATTATGAAAAACCCCTGTGGCAAGTAGCAAAACCGAAAACAGTTGAAGTGAAATTTTCTCCACTAGCGAAATATCTGGCAATTTGGGAACCAGTATCAAAAGATAAAACCACAGAAACTGTACCTTGTAACCTGCACGTGTATAATTGGAGGGAAAATAAACTGGTAATGGAAGTTGTACATAGGAAGCAGTCTGATTGGTCAGTCATTGCTCTGTTCTTTTTTTTTTTAATATTTATTTAACTTTTTTTATATTAAAGTAATTATACGGTTACACTAAGTTTTGCTACTTACAATAGTTATTTTATTTACTATTTTACTACTACTGATGAAAATTATATTTGTGATAATTTCAATTATTATTATGATTGTTGTTATTATTATACATTTTAGATTAATAGGATTTTATAATTATTTCATTATTGATACTTGGTATTTGGAGTTAGAAAATGAAAGGATGTTCTCATAAATAAGATGTTTTAATAGGTCTCCACAGTGGACCTCTAATGAATTTTTATGCTCGAGACTTGCAAACAACAGCGATATCCTATTCTATGAGGATCATAATTTTTGTTGGTTGATTTTTTTTTTAAACTTCAGTATTCTGTTTGTAGTTTCAATCTCGGTTTCAATGCTATTTTGTATTTTAAATAAGATCTGTTGACTGTTTTGGGTTATATTTGAATGTTGGGTATAGATTAGTCAAATGATTTTCTTTAACGAAGTCAAATTTAATTTTTGTATTGTATTGATTTGAATTGTATTGTTTATTATAGTGTTTTGTTGCATTGTATGTATTGCATTGCATTGTATTGTGTTGTAAACAAGCTTAATGTAAAAAATTTATAAGAGTAGAATGAAGTTTTGAAAACTTTTTTTTATAAATTTTTTTTTTCAAAATATCTTGGAAAAAATTTTGAAATTTGATCTCTTTTTTTTTACAAAATTTATATTTAACCATGAAACTTGACATACATTTCAACTACTTTGCACATGCAGCTCAGGTCAAATGCAAACTGCACATGCCCAAGATAATGTGCTACAGTTTGGCGGCATCTCCTGCATCATACCACGTTGTTATATCTGTTCTCGGGTCAAAGGTTAGCAGGATTCAAAGTTCAATCTTTTGGGTCATAGTAGTTCTGCATTTATAACAGATAAATCTGATTGTTACTCTTTGAAAAAATGTTAATTATTTAAAATTTTTTGGATGTTATCTTTATCTATAAATTCTTATAGGGAGAGCCGTCATTTGTTCGCCTCTACAAGTACCCCAACTTCTCATCGCCATCTGATGCACTGGCAAATAAAAGTTTTTTTAAAGCAGAAAGGACTGAACTCTATTGGAACAATGAAGGTTGTCCTTGATAGTTTGTATATTTACATACACCTGTGTATATACATATATATACATACATACATACATACACCCATGCATATATATACATACATCCATCCATATTTATACATATACACGTACATAAATTGTTGTTAATTGGAGTAGCATGTTTGTTGTTGTTTTGACTTTTAAGATTCTTACTAATGTAATTTATCATATCCAATAATAAGCCGACCTTCGATAAATAATTAATTTTGAAAGAACGCCCATCACACACAGGTACATCCCTACTGACGCTGACGTTTTCCGATAACTCGGAGGAATCATATTACGGAGAACAGCATCTGCATTATATAAGTACCAAACAGGAGAGTTGCCAGGTGCATAGGGGTGGGTTTTTTACTTTTTTAGTTTTTATTAATTTTAATTTTATTATTTTATATTAGTTTTATTATTTTGTATTTTTTTATGCGTTTTAGTTAATTTATTCTTTGTTCAAAATTATCTCAACATCATTTTCAGCAAAACCTGGTCCAATATACAGTATAGCTTGGCATCCTAACTCAAAAGAGTTCTGTGTTGTCTATGGATGTATGTTTTTTTTTTATGTATAATTTTATCTATGATTTTTAAAATGTATCTTCTTGATACTGATACCATATCATTTGATAGCACCATAAATTTTATCTTTCATTTTCATCATTCATCCAACTGCAGTAATGCCAGCTAAAGCCACGTTGTACAATTTGAAATGTGAACCAGTATTTGACTTTGGAACTGCCCCAAGGAACTTGGCATACTTCAATCCATTTGGCAATTATATCCTTACTGACAGCCTATTATTATCATTATTCTTTTAACGAATGTTTTTAGTATGTCGTTATTGACACTGCTGTAGTATAGTTAATAAAATTTTTTTTCTTTTGTTTTTAAATGTTATTTTATCCTGGTATAGGTTATGTTGTTGTTGTTGTTGATGTTTCGCAGGCCAACAAAATCATTTATAGAGAACATTAAATTCATTATTTATCGTCCTTAATGAATTGTTCTTCTTTTAAAATTTCCTGTAAACACTGTTGTGTTTAGCCGGATTTGGAAATTTGAATGGAGGTATGGAATTTTGGGATGTGGAAAAGCATAAGATGTTGAACAAGTTCAGCGTTGTTGACACGACATATTTCGAATGGTGTCCTGATGGCGTGCACTTCCTGGCTGCCACTTTGTCACCTAGGCTACGAGTTAGCAATGGGTCGGTTTTGTTTTTTTGTTGGGTTTTTTGCAAAAGTTTGCAATGCTATAATCCACATATTTGTTGTAATTTTTCAGTTTGAAGATCTGGCATTATTCAGGAATTAAACTGAGATCATGGGAGACCAATGAATTGTACTCTGCAATTTGGAAGCCTGTTAAGGAGGGTACACACACCGAACCAACGTTGAAATTCACTGCGTCACAGGCTGCTGTTGTGTCTGCCACTGCAACCGGTTAGAAGCTGTGTCCCTAGTGCCGCCCGCCGTTGTTTCAACTTAGCTTTTAGTGTCGTTCTCGTCAATGCTGTTATTGTACATTTTGTTATTGATGGTTTTATTTTTTTTTTTTACAAGTTTTTTTCTCTGGCCATACGTGGTTGTTAATATATTACATAAATTAACATAAATGTTTGCACCTAGCCAAGCCCGCAGCCTACGTTCCGCCAGCGTTGAGGAACAAGATGACGTCATCAACTTCAGGCACTCCTGCAGCCACATCAGCAGCAGTATACAAACCAAAGTTTAGGGAAGATTATGAACTGCCTTCTAACCTGAAAGAGCAGGAAAACAGTGGGTAGCTTGTGGACTTTTTGATGGCTGTGTATGGCATGCGCATTAGTAAAATTAATGCAAAAATAAATTGAAAATTAATTAAATTAAATTGTCACGCGATTATTGCGCGCAAATGTTTATGTTTGTTCGTTTTTCAGCTGTGGATATATATAATTAGAAATATTTTATCTAACTTCATTTTGCTACTTTTACTTGCCATAAAGTGGATAATTAATTAATTTTATTTAAATCAAACAACGACAGAACCAATGAGTAAGTCTGCCATGAAGAATAAAAAGAAGAGAGACAACAAGAAGGCAAAAAAACTGGGAAGTTCTCCAGAGAAAGCTGATGACGATGAAGAAGAATAATTCGTATCCCGATAATTTACGTTGTCTATCAAATAAATAGTTGTGCACGTTCGTTCCTAATATTGAGGTCCAGTCCGAATACCTTTCATTTCCCAATAAAATTCACAGTTATCATTTGGTTTTTATCAACATTGCAACAAGTTTCACTAATAAAAGCTAGATAGTTTCCGCGTTAAGTGGATGAAATATTCAAGCTTTAATTAAGCTTTAATTAAAACCATATCAGGAATCTGTTTCGATTAAAATCATTGATCTTCAATTAGACTTAACTTTAAAGTCGTGGAGTTGAACTTAGCGAAAATCATTTTGATAAAATGCGCTACATAAACATAACTATCAAAATTTCTTTTGACTGATAGATTGACTCGATGTTTTCTTCTTGATATCTATTTCTTTTCCTTTCCTTTTTCCCCGCAAGTGTAAACATGGCGACTCAAGTATCGAAAAAACGGAAGGTTTTTGTTCTTTTAATGTTCACTTGTTGCTTTATATATAAAAATATATTTGAAAAATGTAGAAAATTTCGTATTTTCGATGAGATTACTCAATAAAATCGATCAAATATCAATCACGAATACGATTGCTCGGGATTTATTTTTGTCTTTACTTTTGTTCGTGCTCATTGTTTTTAATTGTTTTATTCCAGTTTGTGAATGACGGAGTTTTCAAAGCCGAACTGAATGAGTTTTTCACGAGAGAATTGGCTGAAGATGGTTACAGTGGTGTTGAGGTGAGAGTTACACCAACTCGTACCGAAATTATCATTCTGGCAACAAGAACACAGAATGTGTTGGGCGAAAAAGGACGCCGTATTCGGGAATTGACGTCTGTGGTTCAGAAAAGGTTCAATTTCCCAGATGGTACAGTTGAAGTTAGTTTATTTTTTTTATAACATTTTAGTTAGGTGTATTAGTTCTTTACTTAACTTTCACCACATAGTATTAACAACAGTTTTTATGATAGAGAGAAACATAAAAGATAATGAATTTTTATATATTGTTTTTTAGCTGTATGCAGAAAAAGTTGCCACGAGAGGTTTGTGTGCCATAGCTCAAGCTGAATCACTGAGGTACAAACTCATTGGAGGTCTTGCAGTTAGAAGGTTGTTAAAAGTTTAACTATGGATTTTTAAAAATAAAATTTAATTCACTAAAAAATGGAGTGTAAGGTTTATTTTTTTCATTATCAGAGCATGTTACGGTGTTCTGAAGTTTATCATGGAAAGTGGAGCCAAAGGATGCGAAGTAATTGTTTCTGGCAAACTGAGAGGCCAAAGAGCCAAGTCGATGAAGTTTCTTGACGGACTTATGATCCACAGTGGTGATCCAATGAATGATTACGTTGATCAAGCTGTCAGACACGTTCTTCTCCGACAAGGTTTGTTGCATCATTTTTATTCAAATAAATAATTTATTATGTCAAATTTAATTTTTTATGGTTTTAAACTTTTTTAATCTATTAACATTTTAAAACGACATAAACCTGATTAATTGTTAAATTTAATACTTAATATTTTTAGGTGTCTTGGGCATCAAGGTCAAAATTATGTTGCCATGGGATCCTACTGGTAAGCTGGGACCTAAACGACCATTACCTGATCATGTGACCATCCTGGACCCCAAAGATCAGCCAATACCTGAGCAGCCATACTCTGAACAGAAAGGAACTAAACCTGTTGATCCCACTCAACAACAGGCATTGCCTCAATAGGTCAGTCATGAGTTATATCAATATTTTGGTATTCTTTACATTTGTTAAGTTTGTCTGTATTTCTTTACCTGAGATTTACTCATGCTTAAAGAATATTTTTTTATACATAAATTTTAATTTAAAATTTTTTTGTTTTTATTTTTTTTAGGTTATCTGAAAAATTGGGACAGTTTGAAATGTGAATGTTAAATATTGACAGTCAATTATACAATTATGTTAATTGCTGAATAAAAAATTTAATAAAGTGAATTGAGTTTCTATTGTCTTATTAATTTAAAAAACTCAACATTAAAATCGTTCTTCGTGCTTCAATGTTGAGTGTTTTGGCTGGCTATCCAATTCTTCTGTTTGGTATCTATGATGCCTTGCTCTGTGGCGGTTCCAAATGATGACGATTGATAAGAGGATGCCTGCAATCATGAACGATCCAACGGCCATGATGATGTAATTGGTGGTTGTGTATTTGAGGGGAAGCATGTATATCAGTGGCTTATCTGTTAGAAATGTATTGTTCCATGGATTACTGTTATATTTATTTACAAGTTTACATTTTCAAAGTTGTTGAGAATTTTCGGAGCACATGGGCTTATAATAAGATTAACAACCGCCTTTATCTCAGCCAATTCAAGTTTATGAAAATTACCTGAACTATCTTGCTTCATTTGATGCTTTGAACTATTTAATTTATAATAAAAAGTATTATGAAAATGAGTTTGGAAGTTTTATTCTATGAGAGACATCGCTAATAGTCTAGGATTATATGAATAAGTCACGTAGTTTCCATGGCGATGTTCAGCCACTAGGCAATTGAACTTTGATATTGAACAACTTCTGTTGGTGTGCTAGAGTGGCTCCAGTGTATGAGCTAAATTTTTTTTTAAATTTTTTCATTTGGAAGGAGTTGTGAATATCTTGCAAAAACATTTTTTTAACAAAGCAGCCTGTCAGTAAACACCACACTATCTCCAAAACAAATGAACATCAGTGTTTTAAAAGTTTATTATGTACATGTGTTATGCAAAAAAATGAACATGGAAAATATGTACAAAAATCGGAAATATTTACATATATATTTATATATTGTCAACGAGAAAAATTCAGTTGAATGTGTTCAGGTATAACAACTTTACTTAAATCTTCCAATCCCTTCTCAGGCTCCTCTGATATTAATATTGAAATCAAATTTTCTAAAACTTCTATGCACGCCTCATCCTTCTCCCACTTGTGTAGTTCTCTTAATATTATATACGTGTTGGCATCTTTCACTATCTTCCTACCAGCTTGGGTTGTGCAGAGCTGAATCAACAAATTTGTTAAATGTTTATTACAATGAAACTGAAACATTAAAACTCAATAAGGAACAATTGGTTACTTGGCTGATGGCTTCTATAAGAATTTTTCGGATAGTTGGATCACTTTCACGTTCTTTTGTATCTTCCAAATACTGCAACTCTATTGGCAACTTCTCAGTGTCCTCATCATCAAATACTTCAGGCCCAGCCAGAGGAAGTAAGAGTCTTGGCAGAATATCAACCTGCTCTCCAAGCAACCACAAGTGATCATCTGTAATACAAAAAATTAACCATTGCAATCAGTTCATTGTCATTACAGTACTTGATAAAAATCACCTACCAATTTCAAAGCAACAGTTCTTCACTGTTGCTACTATTCCGTGCTGCCTTATTTTTGACTCTTTGAAGGATACAAATGCTAGTAGCTTTTGAAAGATTAACTTTTCTTTGTCAAGGAAAAGTTTTCTTGCCTCTTTTTGTTGCGTCAAATTAGAGAAGAAAGATGCCAGGTGATGTAATGATGCGCAATTGTTAAAGAAAATTTCAATCAGCTTATACAAAACCATAGAATTATCATTTTTCATCAAAAAGTTCATTATCTTGATAGCACCCTCTTTCCAATGTGCTAAATTGGATAAACTCATGGAAACTTTCTCGGAAATCTCTCTTGATTTTTCAGTTGAAGAATTATTAATAATTTTTTCAAACAGAGTGGTTAATGTTTTATCGGATGCTATCATGTTATAAGTTGTATGTTCAGCAGATAAGTTTACCAGACATTTATGAGCTTGTAGTTGAAGATCAGAACTTTTCTCTGCCATGAGGTCTACTATCAAATCTGCAAATTTATTAGCTCCTATATTTTGTACGATAAAATTTCTACCTTCCTCAGACCCAGTTAGCCCCAGAAGATACTCAGAAGCTGTTAGTTTAATGTTATCTGCAAGGGACTTCTGTGATAAAAAATACACCAAATCATTGGCTGGATTGTTTTCTTCCATTTTTCAATCTAAATTAATAAAATTACTAATACTAATAGTAAAATTAATAATAATAAAAATAAAAATTACTAATACCAGTGAAACAAAAATAGAAATTTTCATAGTTGGCCAAGTATTTAAAAATTAAAATTGATATATAATATATTATATAAAATAAGAATAAGACTTATTTTTTTAAGTATAACTTATTTTTTTATATACTCTATCAGTTATATATATATATTATATAGTGATAGTCACTATCAACATCAACACATACATACAATGAAATTTTTGATTCCGAAAAGTTATCTTCAAACAATATTGATGTTGTTAATTAAAAATTTTAAAATATTTAATTTTTTTTTTAATATTATTTTAACTCAAACTCAGACAAAAAACAAGCCACAAGTTTGATAAATTTTATTATCGCTAGAATGTTTATCAAGACCGAATACAAAGACAAAACATTTTTCATTACAGAATTTCAAACATTTTATGGACAACCAAAAATATTAGCAATTGTCAATTTTAATAGATTCGAAGGGAGTTAGCTCGGATAATAATAAAAATTAAGGTTTCCACAACTTCAATATTCCATCTTCTGAAAATGTGGCAATGAGGTTCTGATGAGGATGATGAGCAATGCCTATGACGTCTTTCTCATGAATCTGTAACGCATGATCGTGAATTTGATTAATTAGATCGAAACTAATTACCAGATAAAAATTACAAAACTTTAATAACAAAATAATTTCATCATTGATCAGGCTTTTGAATATTAGTTTAAAACATAACGTTTCAATAACGAAACTACTATTGATTTTTTAATAACTAAAAACTGATTTATAATAACAAACGAAAGTGACTCAGTTAAAGACTAACGTTAAGTGTTCTTTCAAGTTTTCCCGTAAGTAAACTGAAGCAGTACATAACTCGATCCTCTCCAATGACATAGAGCCATTCACCTCTGGGCGACAACGTGCAGCACACAAAATCTCCACCTTCTCTTTTACCACTTGAAAAACTTTTTACAATTTGGCCCTAAGAAGAAACAGTGATTATAAATAAATTGAAAAAATTAAATAAATGAAAAAAAAACACTAAAGTGATTAAAAACTAACTTGCATGTTCATAATGACGACGGTGTTGGATCGATTGCATACAACAAATTGTTCAGTATTTTTAGGAAGCAACTGTGCACTGTGAACAGTAACATCAACACCTGAAGCACCACCAAATGATTTGTGTGTACTTGAACACTCCGTAGTTTTGATGTTCCATATCTTTATTGTACCATCTGAGCTGGTGCTGACAAATAAAATTTTTTCAACTTATTAGCCAAATTTTTTTCATTATGTAAAAAAGAAAACAAATATCAAAACATATCTTTCATTAAAACATCACCAAAACTTCGATTAACAGTTGAATGCAAACCTGATGATCTGGTGCATATCATAACTGAAAATGGCATCATTCACAAACGACGTGTGTCCTCTAAATTCTTTTAAAGCTTTACCTGACTTCAATCCAAATATCCTAAAAAAAACAAAAGATATTTAATCAAAAATAAAGTTTAAAAAATATTTCCTGAGTATACTGAGACTACAAAAAAAAAAGGGAAAACCTACTTGATGACCATATCAAATGATGCAGTGAGCAGCTGGCTGTTGTCCCTGGAGAAGTAGATTGATGTGATGCCCTTCGAGTGTGCCCTATCCAATTTTCTCAAACACTGACCTGTCAGAACTTTCCACACCTTGAAAATTTTTTTTAAATAATGTCCTCATTTATATTTTATGAAACAAGTTTTTAAATAATTCTATAAATCCACACTTTAAAAAATCATTTAACAGTCTCAATGTAAATTTAATAAAAACTAATAAAATACAGAACAAGTTGTTAAATGAGCCGATACCATGAATGTTAAAAACTGACCTTAATTTTTCCATCTTGTCCACCTGAAGCCAGCATTTCAGAATCTCTGCTGAAGTTCAGGCATAGGACTGCCTCCTCCATCAGCATAAAATTGTCTTGAGCCTGTAATAATTAAACAGGAAAAAATTGTATTAGAATGAACTCCTGAGAAAATTGTTAACATAACATAGAGGTCCATATGCCTCTATTCACTGTAATATCAAAATGTAAAATACTCAAAATAAAGTATATATATGCAGAGTTATCAAATTAACGTAAATGTAAATTATACAAAGCAAATCGTACAAAGTAAAATAAACATCACTCTATCAATTGTATCAAGTAATATTAGAATGAAAAACATTGAAAATAAATAATTGAAAGTTATTCAATGTAAAATTAACATGGTAGATAACCAGCCTGATATTTAAGATCCTTCCTAATCTTGCCAGTTGTGAAGTTCCAAACCTCGATGATGCCATCAACTGATCCGGTAACCAAATATTGGCCATCTGGTGAGAATCGAGCACACTCAACATGAGCTTTTTGGCCAAACTGTTTGTTCAGTTGGAGAATAATTTGTTAACGTTATCAAACTATATTTCATTGCTTTGACACATTTATAAGTCAAAACCCATGAAATAATGATAATTAATTTGATTAGATGATGCACTAATTTGAAATTATTTGTAAAATAGGTATGAGCATAGAAAAAAATGAAAAAAAATGCAAAGACCTTGAGAGCCCTAGAAAGTTGTGTTGGGTATTTTTCCTCCTCCTGTTCCTTCACAGCTGCCTTTCCCCTGAAGACATCGATGGTTGTTCCAGGTGGAAGGAGGCCCTGGTGGCGTTGCCAGCTGAGTGACTGGCTCAGCAGAGATAGAAGTCTGGCGGGGGGTACCACATTCACCTCTCCTGCTAGGGCCTGTGCTATGGCCACCCTCCTTCGCTCCTTTGATTGTCCCTCTAGATAGGCCTGTAAAAATGTCATTTTATTTTTTGTTTAGTCGAAAAGAAAAAAATACTATATAGATTATAAATTGAATGTATGCTGATGAAAGCAAGAAGAGTCAGACCTCTCTTGGGTCAAAAAAAGATCTACTCAGCATGTTCTCTAAATGAAGATATCTATCTGGATACTGTTGTTTCATCATAACCATGGGATCAGTTTGTCTCAACAAAGATCTTGCTGCTCCCAATTCTCTCAACTCTATCAGTTCTAGAACAATCTGAAAATTTTCAAAAATAAATTTTAAAGTTCAAAATCATTTTCAGTATAAAAATGTTAAAAAAACATTAGAAAGATTTCTTTAATAAGCAGTTTCAATAATGGTGCTATCAAAAATACCTGTTCATACAGATCAATAAGTTTTTGATCAGGCAGCTTGAGGGATTGTATGGCTTGCAGTACTGTATCCCAGTGGCCATTGTTGATGTCTGATACAAAGCTGTCTACAGAATCAACTGTGTTCAATGATATTCCTGTTTCTTCCTGAAACAAATATTTAATAAATAAACATAATATTAGGATAAAAAATTATTTTAAAGTGAATAAACATTATGTAAAACAGTTACACAACTATTTATTAATTTAATAAAAAGAAAATTGATGATCCCTACTTGCAGTACTGACAATGTTCTTGTCAATCCATTCTCTTTTAGAAATTGCTCAATGAGCCTTATGACACTAGAAAAAAATAACGAAAATCATATATATATATATATCTATGCATCTATATTTTTAATTTCATTAATTACATTATTATTTAACATTTAATTAAGAAATCAATTGTTTTGAATTAAAACAAGATAAACCAGATCATGATATCTAATATAACATAACTATAGAGAAATTACGCGTTAAATTCAAATTTTTAAAATTTACATAAATATTCATAAAAAAACGGAAGCTAACTCTGTCGATTCGATTTCCACGGCCATGTTTTGCTGAAAATTTAATATTTTTACGCAATCGGTAATCTCAATGTTAACAAGCGATAATAAACTTTATATTTATAATAAAAACATGCAAAGACATAAAAACTTTAAACGGGCTATTTGGCTTTCTTGGCTTATTTGTTTACGTACGAAACTGCATGGGTTTTAACGAACAACTAATACAAAATATTTACCTGACTAAACTAAATATTTTCAAAACAATATAATTAAATTTTATATTTCAAAATTATTGCTGTCAATTGAATTAAAAATATTGCTTTTTGTTTAAAAAACACAGTGGCTTATTGAAACCATGGTTGGCTAAATTACAAAATTGCACGGGTTTCAACAAACAACTAATACTAAATATTTATTTGACATAATATGTTTGAAACATTGTAATTAAATCCGAAATTTTTGTTTTGAAAACATGGTGGCTAACCTACTGTTTAATAAAGCAATAAATAGGTTTATTTAGAAAATTGCAATGTTCTCATTAAAATTGACAAAAATAATTTCAAATTATATAATTCAAGTCCGACCATAAAAATATTAGTTCTTTGTCTCTTTGTGTCTTATTGAGCTTTGCTCAATCTCCTTGTTCATCAACATTTGTCTGTTTGTCTCGCTCCGTTTTAATGAAAAAGAGTTGCAAACGTAGTCAGTTAAGGATGAAACTTTAACCGATTTTTCAAGTTCAAATAATGTGAAAACTTTTAAAAAAGTTTTTGTTAAGTCATGCATGATTTTTGTACTGCTACTGCTGCTGATGACAATTTCAATAAGAGCTGCTTCCATTCCTCCATCAAACAGTTTCTGACAGATTTATGCGAGTTGGCCGTCATATATAACTACAAGCTCGATATCTATGGTAGCATCCACGTTCTAGCAGACGGCTTAGAATTTTCCAATTTGTTACTGAATGAACATTTGGAGAAGCAGAAGGAGAACAAGCAATCTCTCATTAACAACAAAGTGAGCAACAACAAAACCAACATCATGCATACCAGCAACATGAATAACAACGATAACTTACATAATAGCAACATCACTGATGACTCTTCTCATAGTTTGATGAATGAAAGTTGCCAATCCAAGTTGAGTGACAGCATAAAACAAATAAATTCATTCTCCAAACTTCTTTATCAAAAAAATGGCTGTCTAAAGAAGAAGAATAGAAGAAAGCATTTAGAAGTTGTTAATAAAATGTTAATTGCAGATTTGGAAAGCAAAGAAGAAACAGTTTACAATGATGATGAAAATAATTTTTTGATAGAAAATGATGCACAGCCAACTGAAAAAGTTCTTCAGACCCATCATAAATCAACGATGGATGAAGAAGAAGAGCATCTGATTGACCCAAATATTTCTTTATCTAACATTCAGCAATCAGCTGGTGACAACAACAGTTCTCAAAATGTAATCACAGACATAATCAAATCTTATTTGATAAATATGGGTGAATCCAGTGAAATAACTAAGGATGATCAAATTGAATCAAACATTTATTCCTGTTCAATTTGTAATGCACAGCTAAATTCAGTGGAATCATTTGAAATCCATATGAAGTTTCACTCTTTGCTTATAAAATCAGAAGATATACTAGAAAGCTTATCAAATAATTCTAACTATCTTTCAGGTATTAACATAAACAGCAGTTTTTACTCTAGCATATTCAGCAATTTTACTAACGATGTAATTGCAAAATGTAATGACCATGAATCTTACAATGAAATGTTCTCTATAAAAGAAAATAACTTTGTTAACACCAATGAGTTTAAAAGCTATGAAAAGTTATTTAAAAGATTGAACTGTAGCACATGTAACCTATCATTTAGAACCATGGATGGTCTGAAGTGTCACATAAATTCAAAGCATTCTCTTAGAAAAACATACAAATGTCAGTTCTGTCCAAAGGTTTTTCTCACTAGACAGGCTTCATATTCTCACAGAGTTAAAATACACTCTTCAAGCATCAACACAAAGAATGTCAAAAATATCTGAAAGACATTACACTGTTTATATATAATAAAATTATTTCAATGATATTATATATGAAATTAATCAATGATACACTTATAGAATGAGATTTACTGATACATCATCTATATTTCTTTTCACTTAACTTACTCATTTAACATCACATTCCATGGTCACACGTAGCCATTCTATTCAAATCATTCTCATATTATTAAGCATTCAAGTTTATTATTCCATTTATTACCACATGTGTACATTTCATTCAGATGAATATCTCAATAATTGCAGTTTCTGATACGCACAAACTTTATATGTACACGCACACACGCAAGCACACACACACACATATATATATGTATGTATAAGTATATATACATAATCTACACCAGGGTATCGTTGCATTATTTATATATCTTTTATTTATATATATCCTTTACTTGTATTGTATAATTTATATACACAATTATTTATTATATCTTTATTACAAACGTTTGAGATGTGTATTTTTGTAATTTTTTTATATGGTATATACATATATGTGTGTGTGTATGTATATGTGTGTTTGTGCGTGCGTGTTATTATGTCCTACCGTATCTTTTAAAAATTTTTGTGATTGTGGGAAGTTTGTGGAAATTTTTAAACTTTGGTGTTAAATATTCTAGTCAATTGCAGTTGTCGTCTGTTGTTCATCGTGTTAACTGATTTTCGCGTTTTTTCTCTATAAAATTTAGATAAATGGCAAGATCGTTAAGATTTTGAAATTGTTGTATTGATGTAGTCTCTAGTCGTTTCATGTTGATTAGTAGTTGATTGTAATGTAGTAGTTCATGTGATTTGATAATGTGCACAAACGAGTTTCATTATATCTTGCTATGTTTTACTTCCTCTAAATGTATTTTTTACCGTCATGTTTCTTTACAGATTCTTTGTTGATTTAACACTAACACATGATGGCAGTGCAGAATATGTGGCGTTGGTAGTCTGTACTTACACTTTTACTTTGTTGCTGTATTTGTCTGTCTGTTTCGTCGCGACACTAGAGCACAGAGCAACTGATTTTGAGATGCAGATTTTAACACTCTATTGATGATCCATTGACCGTCTCTTGTTAGTTCTTTTATTACGTGTTTCGAAATTCTTGATCAGTTTCGAACAAAATAGTTTTAATTAGAACATTTCTGTTGCATTTATAAGCAGTAATGTTCTTCGAGAGTTAGCGATTTAGTAACAAACAAAACTTCTTGGATACTTTTAATGAGATTTCCACACATATTTATGAATTCATTACACACACACACACACCCATCTAATCATGTGCATATTTAATAGTATGATACACTGATCGACAGACGCAAATGCACGTTTGTACCCATCACGTATATAAACATATCTAGATACGTTTTGCTTAGTCTCAACCGTATACATACACATTAGACACATATACAAAGACATACACACTACACACATATACATACGCATACACACAGACTTGTACTACGCATACATATACAAAAAATGTTTTTAAATAATGTGAGCTTCCCTAGTAACGTGCTGTATTAGATGAATATTATATCATTTACTCTTAGTTGTATTGTGATCGTCAAATTTATTTTATTATTTAAATAAGTATTATTGTCATAGTATTTTTTGTGCATAAGATATTATGTGAAATTAACAATGAAACAATGTTGTTACATGGTAATTAAATCATTACAAAATGTCTTCAACTTATTTTCATAGGCAGAGCAGCATGTTGCTGATGTGTTATGCAAATCATAATAAATTGTGGTATGTTTGCAAAGTAGTGAGGAAAGGAAGCATAGAAACTGTGTAATTCTGTATCAGTATCCATAATGTTTTACATGTTTAAATAGATCTGACATTATTGAATGTTATGTGAAATAGTTTGAAAGTTATGTGAAATAGTTTGAAAATTATCAATTGAATATGCAATGAATGTGGCAGACGTTACACTTCATGTCGGTGTTTAATCTTTATTTCAAACGTAAAGTGACTTCAATCATTTTCAGGCAATAATTTTCCAAACACCTCACTAGGGATGGTTTGCTTCTCAAGTTCAAATTCTGTGTATAAAATAGTGAAAGAAAATTCAAGTAAGACTGATTTAGGAATTACTACTACTAAAAAATATAAATTCTAAGCGTTTGCACTAGGTGTATGTACTACATGCTTGATGAAATTTTCGTGTACAGATGAAAATAATCTTCAACCGACCTTCAGTTATATCCTCTTCATCTTCATTGTCGTCATCTATGTCTATCTCGTCTGGATTTTTTGTTTCAGCTAGTTGTCCGAGTTCGTCATCAGTTGCCTGCCCTCTCACAAATCTAGGCAGATGAAAGAAGTTTAGTAAAAGTGTAGAGCCGACTTTTTTAATGTGCTAATAAATGCTGGAGAAAAAACCATTGAATTGAAATAATTGAGATGAATAATTTGAAATGAATGAAATTAAATGATTAGATGAAATGTTTAACGGAAATCGACAAAAAATTATTGAAATAGAGTGAACCAACTAAAATGGCTGAATTGAAATAACTGAATAAAAAACAAACTTGGAAAGTCCAGCCATGTTAGCTGAAGATGCTACTTCATCCTTCTTAGATTCCTCCGCTAATTCTCTTGCCTTCTTCTCCAACGATCTCATGCTGTCATCCACTGCACTTTCAGCTGTTAATTAATTTTATTTTTAAATTAATTGATTGATTAAAACTCAAATAAAATATCGTTTAACTACCGCAACACCAAGCTAACCTTCATGAGCTCGTTTGGCAGCATGAGCAGATAGCATCTGAGCAGACATGAAATTAACCTGCAGAAAATTATAAGTATTTGTTTTGTAAAGACATTATTTGATTAATATCGTTAATTTTCAGGTATAGTTATATACAAACGTCTTTAATAATATTGTCTTTGATATTATTGTAGAATTTATTTATCAATAAACCGTAATAGTTGTACATGTTAGCACATCTATTTCTAACAGCTTGAACAAACCTGCGTGTTGAAGATGGCCATGACGCTCCTCTTCGTCCTCATCATCTCTCTCAATGTGTCCTCATTCCCATGACGGATCTCAAAATCCTTCCAGGTTTTCCAGAAGTCGACTGCCACCTAAATGAAACAACATCAGATTAGGTCGGTTTTGTAACTCTACCTGAAGATTAAATTTATATTTTCATACCAGAATCGTCATTGCTGCGGTAGAAACTTACAAAACCAAAAATTTTTCATCATTAAATAATTAAATTTATATCAACAACGAAAGCAAACTACTCCAGCAAAATCCTGTAAGCAGCGAACAATGGTTAACCTAAATATCACCAATGATAATTTCAAAAACCGCCATTGACAAAAAACCATAATTAAATAAATAAATTAGTTAATTAACTAAAAAATTAATTAATTAAAAGTATAAAACCAATAGACAGACCCTGGGATCACACATCTGAGAGCAGTGGGCATATATGGCTCGCGCCCTGTCAATCTCACCGAGCTTGCACTCCAAGTCGGCAAACCTCATACTCATGTCCCTGGGATTGATTTTATTATAGATGATAAAATTATAGATATTATAGATAACATGGATTATAGAAATTTATTATATGGTGTGATAGTGTATGATGGAATTATCATCATCGCCGTCTTGGTTCATCACAATCATCATTGAATATCATCATTGAAATGATGACATTAGCAACATCATCATCACTATTTTCATCATTTTTTCAGTACCAGTTCTCATATTATAATTACAATCATCACAATAATTCTCGTCACAGATAGCTCATTTGTCATCGTCATCATCATCGTCATCATCGACGTCATCACCATCGTCGTTGACGTCATCACCATCGTCATCCTAACTTGGCCTGGTCATCAGTGAGTGCTTCGATAGCCTTATGATAAATACCCCTTGTATGTGTAAGGCCGTACAAATCCGTCGCTCTTCTAATGTACATGTTGTACATCTGGCGGAGAAAAAATGACGGTGCAGCGATTAAGATGTGATGAGCGCTAAATGTAAATAATACTACAACCGCTGCTACTACTACTCTACTACTACTACTACTTCTACTACTACTACTACTACTACTACTACTACTGATACACATTGCTACTGGTAGTAGTATTAACAATACAACTTCTACAAACATTACGAAGACTTCTAAGAAGATTACTGCTGCTACTACCACTGATAATACTATTACTACAATATCTGCTCTGCCACTTCTACTACTACTACTTCTAGCAATGCCAATATTACAAAACAATATTACATAGATAAAACAGAAATACACATACAACATCCAGAGAGAGAGAGGGAGAGAGAGAGAGAGAGAGCGGGAGGGAGAGAGAGAGAGGAGAGGATGGAGAGAGATTATTCACCTCGTATTGATCTTCAGGTAGGACCCCCTTAGTAGCCTTGTCGTACACCTCCATGGCGTGTCGGGCCTGCCCAAAATCTTCTTCAAGTTTTGCATACATCAGGTAGATAGCTGGCGCAATATTATTATCATTATTATTCATTATTATTATTTTTATTATTAATATTAATCATTATTATAATTATCAGTCTCATTATTAGCATGAAAAAATAATAATAAAACCTTGTATATATGCTGAATTCAGTAATTTAGACAACGATTGCGTGTGTTTAACAAGTTTATGATTTCGTGTTTATTTGCTTCAACGCTTCACTCATTAGCAGAAGAAACACCACAACAAAAACAGCATTCAAACTTTTCCATCATCACTTACGTTTAGCGAATTTGGCAGGGCACTTTTCGAGGCACTGTTCAAAGAGATCACGTGCCCTCTCCAGCTTGTCACCTTTGTAACGCGCTATGAACTTTGTCAGGTACGTGTTCCAAATCTCATACACGTTGGGCCATTTAAATAGTGCTATGCCCTTTTCGTAAGCCTAGAGAGTTTTTGATGATAAATATCTCAATGAAAATTAATAAGTACAACGAGAATAACCACAAGAATAAAAATATTTATGTTGTTACCAGTATCATTTATACCAGTAGTAGCAGCAGTAGCAGTAGTAACAGCAGCAGTAGTAGTAGCAGTATTAGTAGTAGTAGTATTGGCAGCAGTAGAAGCAGCTGTAGTAATTATTTTCTCATAGTAGTATCAGAATTAAAAATTGTGAAGCTGACTATGGAAATTATGAAATAGTTTTAAGGTATTTGTTAGATGTAACCAACACTATCATTAATTAATTATTCATTTTATTATTACTACCTTGAAAGCTTCTTCAAAGTAGTTGAGTTCCTCTAGATATGTGGCGTAGTTCATAACTATCTGCGGATTGGCTATCTTTAAATCGAGTATCCTATCATAGACTGACTTGCAAGACTGAGAAGAAATCATGAAGTATCATGTTATGTATCATAATTTATATTTTATAATTTATCATATTACATATTGTATTACATATTTATTTAATTAATTATTTATCTATTACAATCCTCCCATCAATATTTCCAGAGGCGTCAATAAAAAACAACACAGTGTATTTAAAAACACACGTGAAACAACACATTACACACAGAATGAGTGAGACTGGCAAAAACCTACATACATACATACTACAAATACATACATAAATACACACTCACACTTACATACATATACAAATACAAAAAAAACAACACCATATGTGTTCCAAAAGTTTCTTCTAGATCAGCATACAGTGCCCAAACTTTCAGTGATTTATACAGTCTATTTTGCACTGGCTCCGTCTTTTTTTGAATACAGTAGTGAATTTTAAATAAATTTTAATAATTCAAGATTTTAATCCATCATAAAGATTTCATCAATTTGTCATAATTATCTGATAATTATAACCATAATTAAATATAATAAACAGTAAAACAAACAAAAAATGATGCACCTACCGAATCATAGAAGTCTACAATGCCAGCAACAGGTACGACAGCCTTTTGGAGAACTTTACGAGCCTCCGTATAATTTCTAACAGAGAAGTAAAAATAAATTATACAATTTAATAATATAAATAAATAATTAAATTATTAAAAAAACTATAAATAAATAACAATAATATTTAAGATGCATTAGGCCAAGCTAGCTAGCGTTAATGCAACGATCATGACACTAAAAAAACTACTCAATGATGAATCAGAAATGAATAAAAAGCTAAATAATATTAAAAACAACAACAACAAATAATAACAATAAAATAATAAGAATAATAATAAGCAATAAGACTCACTCGTGCCTAAGTTCCATTTCAACATACTCACAAACCAATGATGCTAGCTCATCGACATTCTTAAAGTCTGCCAGCATACCTTTTTCGAAAATCAGACGAGCCTTTCAAAGAGTTGAGAATAAAACATGTCATTATCATCATCATTTTTAGTAGTAGTAGTAGTAGTAGTATTAGTATTAGTAGTAGTATTAGTAGTAGTAAGAGTATTACCATCAAGTTTATTACCATTTTATCGAAATGACATTAATAATCATAGCACCACATTACAATAACATTATCACAAGATATCACGTCATCACAGCAATCTCACTCACATCAGTAATTTGACCAGCATCCTCGTAGAATTTGGCAAATCCAACCCACAAAGTGTACAATTTTCCAGAAGCCTGTTTCGGGTCGACTATCTCCACGGCCTCAGTGTACGTCTCTACAATCTGTACACAATAATTTATTGTACACTACATGAAAAGAATAGATGAATGAATGAATGAATGAGTGAATGCATGAAAAAATGAATAAATATATGAATGACTGACATAATGAGTGAATGAATAAATCGATAAGTTAAAAAGTAAATAAATTAATGAACAGATAAAGGTAATCATTATACACATCACCAATATTATTTATTATAAAATTCATAATTTTCTTCATCATCATCATCATCGTCATCGTAATCACTTCACCATCATCATCATCATTGTAATCACTTCATCATCATCATCAAAATCACTTCACCACCATCATCATCGTTACCTCTTTTGGTTTTCCTTCATAGAGTTTGATCCTCTTGTGCCATTCATGGACATTGTGAGGGTTTTGCCTTAGTAAGACGCTGCATGATACATAATAAATTGATAATGGAATAACTATATATATATATATATATATATATATACATATTATGTAGTGTACCTTACCTATTAAGTAACAAAGGCCTCCTTTCCATGAGGTCTTCCAGCCTAGCCAGATGCATTTCCAACTCCAAGTCATCTATTTGTTAGTTGTTCAATTAAACAATCAATTAATTAATTCATTTATAATTCACTGATTCAATCATTCATTCATTCAATTAATCATTCATTTAAATATGTTCACACAGCTAATTTACAGGTTAATGATTTCACTTGAAAGAATATTACATATTAATAGAATGGGTACATGATGTATTAAATACGAAAACTTGAACCAAAAATTAAGCCAATATCAAGTCATTGCAACAACACACAAAACACAGAAACAAGTATATAAAACATCACCAACTAAATGTAAAAATACACTCAACACCAATTTACATCTACAAACAAATAACGGCACATCCCTATTTTACACTAACATCACTAACCATCTTCGGTGGGGCCCAGTGAATTAGTTGCCTCCATTTTTGCTCTGATTATTTGGTCCTCAAATTGAGTGTAGGCATCGAAAATTTGTGTGAAATCCCTGACAGTCATGACACTTAACATGGCTTCTTCGTAGATATCTCGAGCCTGTGCAGGAGTTTCGATGGTTTTTGTGAGAAATATTTGCCAATTTCTACCTTTCAATGTTGAAAATTTTAATTTTTAGTGTGAATAAAAACCATTCATCTAACCCTTTCAAAGAGCTGACTTCTAACGTAATAATCTGCGAGAGCATTCCACAGCATACCAACCTGAACAATTTCATTCCATTCATTTTAATAGTAAAACTAAAATATTAAATGGGTATATATTATTTAGGTAGTACAGAAAAAAAAATTTTAGCATCCCTGATTAGAGCTGATAACAGAGAAAATCAGATAAAAGTAAAAAATTGATAAGGGTAGATTACTTGGTCTGTGTATTTCTTGATTCCCTGCCTCACAATCGGCTCAACCTTCAGAGAAACCACTTTGGTCGGATTCTTTGAGACAAGATCACATAACTGATTCCACAGCTAAAAAAGTTTTATTTAAAATTTTTTAATAATTATCAAATAAATAAACAATTAAAAGATGATTTAAAATAAAAAACCTGATGCTTTGACTTTCCATATTTTGATTGGAACTTGTCATCATTGATGATTTTGACCAGCAAGATGGCTGCCTCGTCCAGTCGATCAACTGACTTCAAGTAGTCAATGAAATCTTCAGAATCTTCTGGCATCAACTGTACATTTTAGAACAAGAATTTTATCAAAATTTTCAAAAAGTTAACTAAAGTCTCAAAACAATATTCTAAGATGAAGTTTTCAAAGCATACACCAGCTTTATAATATACATAAAAATAAATGAACTTTATAATAATGAGCATTTTAAGTACTTTTAAAATTAAAAAAAACACACCAACCTTAAGATATCTTCGATAGCATCTGACAATAGTTTCCTGCAAATCAGGATACTTCATGAGGAAGAGAAGATACAGATTCCATATCCTCTGGTGTTGGGTGATGGGTAGGGATCGCAGGGCTCGATCGAATGCTCTTCTCGTTGTGGTTACGAAGCCCTGGTCAATTAGGAATTGTAGGTACTCCAACCAAATTCGTGGCATCTGGAAGGGGAGATGTTAATATTGTTTAAAATGGATACTAATGCAGAATGAAGCAGATATAACAACAATTTTTTGAAAGTATGGAATAAAGTTGATAGTCTAAACTTACAATATGATCCAAAAATATACTCTATAGGATTTGAAGTATGGAAAAACAAAGCAATTGAAAAAGTTCATAGTTAAATACCTTATGCATGAATGTGAGTGATCTTTCAAAGGTGCTATTGAGATCTTTATACATGTTACTATTGATATTGATTCCCTTAATCTGAACAAGTCTCAACTTTAGGTAACTATGCCAGATTTTATAACTGCATTGGGAGAAAATTTCATCTATTAGAAAATATTAAAATTCTTTTTTTATATGTTTTAATTTAATTATTGTTTAGTTCATTTGTTTTTTAAAAATTATGAATAACATGACATGAAAGGACATAAAAAGCAACAGATGAAATTAAATTTGATTATCAAAAGTAGACAGACACAGCATTATTCATTGAAATTTGATAATTGTTCAACAATAACCTCTTAAAATAAAAATCATCCTAACAAAATTCAGCTAGTAGTTAGATGTTAGAAGTTCTGTTCTAAGACCTAACTCCTAAAAGTTACAACTAACCTTCCAGGTAGTTCTTTGAGGGCTCGTTCGTACAGCATGTTGATGACGTCATTGGGGGCAGATTTTTTGTGTTCGATATACCTCAACCAACATTTCACACTGTAAGGATTTCTCAAGATTTCCTCCTCATATGGAATGTCTTCCTCTTCCTGTTTAATTTTCATGTAAAGATGAATGAAGGTAATTCTAATTAGAAAATTAGTAATTACAAAATAGTTTATATATTTTTTACACTTTATTATTAATTTAAATTTCAAATTAATAATAAAGTGTAAAAAATAAATTTAATTTTAAAATTAAATTTTTTAAAGTTTAGTAATTTACTTAATAACTTAGTTAGTCAGGAAAGAAATTTTTCACAATTATTGTTTGGAACAAATTAATAAATATTACAAATTTCCTCACAAAAATAATGTCCTCCATCACTTCAGTTAGATTTAAATGTTAAATGATATAACAAAAAAGTACGAATGAATTTGTTTATCTTATTATCGCCCAAAACAAAAGAATAAAGACTGATGGATAGAAAGTATAGGGTTGCCGGCATTGACTTTCTTAAAATTGTTGGCTTATTGGCTTACTTTTGAAATTGCATAGGTTTTAACAAACAAGTTATGTATATGAAATATTTACTTGACTTAACTCGATATAATTTTATAAAACACTATATAACTTTATATAACTCTATATAACTCGATGATAACTCTATGTAACTTAATATAACTCTATAAAACTATAATATATTTCTATATAACTCTTTATTATTCGATAATACTTTATATAGCTCTATATAACTTTAAATAAGTTTATATACATTTTTATAACTCTATATAACTCTCGTGTATTATATGTATTTATATATCTATAAATCATCACCATCTATAAATATTTTCTAATTCAATCAAACCATAATCTTGATGTTGAACGCATATTGGTTTCAGCTTTTTTGTTAATAACTTTTTGAAATATTAAGATAATACAAATTTTCGTTTTGAGTTTATTAAAGTGATTATTTCTTTGAATAATGAAATGAAAACTATTAAAATAAGATGAATACTTCTTTGTAAAATCTGTGCTGAAAATGACGTCATTTTAAAACTATGTAAAAAACAACATGAATTAGCGAATTAGCCAATATAAATTTCTAGCTAGGTTTTATGTTTTGTCGATTTTAATCATAAAATACTATAACTGTGTGTGTGTGCGTGTGTGCGTGCGTGCGTGTGTGTGTGTGTGTGTGTGTGTGTGTGTGTGTGTGTGTGTGTGAGTAGAATAGAACCCATAAGATCGTATCTTAATAGGAAAAGTTTATGATTGTTTAACTGGAAATGTCGTGCAACGAAGCCATTTTTCTTTTAATTGTTATTTATACAGACTTTTATTACAATGTTCATAATAATTTTTATCAAATAACTGGTATTTAGGTTTGTTGTATCGGTGCACTTGTATTTTTTATGCTTCTGGTTAAAAATTTTACCTTTTACGGTTGATTTATAGTTTCGTCTATTTATCTGTTTTATTGTTATATGTTGTAATATCCGATATTTCTTATTTTATGTAAATTTATTAATTTATAATTATTATTTTTTTGTTTCATTACTAGGTTTTATCAATTTGGATTTTTAATAAACGTTTTTGGATCTATTGTTGTTCTGATGTTATGGCTTTATTGTAGTTTTTCTATTGCCTGCTTTGGAACACGCACTCACACAACACGCATACGCATACACACACCACACATATAAATACACACAAACATACACATTATTAATAATATATATATATACATATATATATATATATATATATATATATATTTCCGGACTGCTTTAAAACCTCGAAAGTTATTCCCATATTTAAAAAAGGAGATAATGCCGACATTAATAACTACAGGCCGATTTCTCTACTGTCTCCGTTGTCAAAATTACTAGAAAAAGCAGTTTATGTCAGACTATTTTCTTTCTTTGAAGTACATAAAATTATTTGCAACAACCAATATGGTTTTCGCCCTAGCCACTCAACGGAACTTGCTCTACTCGATTATGTCCATCACATCCTCTCCAAACTCAATGACAAAAAACTCTCAGTTGGTTTGTTTTTAGACCTTTCGAAAGCATTTGACGTTATTAATCACAGCATCTTACTTGATAAATTAAGTTGTTATGGTATTCGAGGAGAAGCTCTCGGGTGGATTCAAAGTTATCTCTCACATCGGAATCAATACGTCACTATTGACAATTACCAATCTTCAAAGGCCTTAACTTCCATTGGGGTACCTCAGGGATCAATCCTCGGCCCACTTCTATTCCTAATCTACATAAACGACATTCATAATATATCTATTGGAACTAAATGTATACTATTTGCCGACGACACGAATCTCCTATTTACTCCCGACGACATTTCATGTTCAGATCATATAAATTCGGTCCTTTCAGAACTTTCAAACTGGTTTTCTTCTAACAAACTTACTGTCAATCATTCT